GAGGAGCGTCGTGAAGCCTAACCAGCAGTTCACGATCGGACTGATTTGGATTCGATCACTGAAAACTCCGAATCCGATAGATCGAACATCATCTCTATCGGTATAATAACGATTCAGGAGTCCGTGGTGGTATCTGTCACCGAATAGATCAATGGCTCATATCAAACGATATTAGATAGTTTGCATACGGTACGACACCTTTCACTATCACCGACTTGTATTCCTACCGAGCGATGTCTGCGACAGTAGCCGCAGATGGCAGATCCGAAGTTACATAACGTCGGTCACGGGTTTGTCTCTCTCCAGATCGATACACACTTCTCGGAAACCCGTTAGGTCATTGAGAAACGATTGGGTGGTAGGAGCCAAACAATCATACACTAGACTAACTGTTTAGTTGGATAATATTTGGAACCCGTGGGGGCAAGGGAGGCATTCACACCTCCTTCAGTAGCAATGAAAGCGTAAGCTCGATAAAAGACGATATCCTGAGTTTCTCTAATTCTGAACTCATTGACAAGGGGTTAGCGATCCGAAAGCATACACAGTAAATTCTGTTATAAACGAACAGTTAATAATTTTAAACATTGGGAACAACTAACGGGATTAACCAACTTTTCATCGATCCGGTTTTGTCATAAAACTGTCAACTGATTAGTATATTACTTATCAGCATCTACTACTGTTACCCTGCTGTCGCAGTTCCTGGAATTTACCCAATTTTTCGAATTCCCGAGGGGTGCGATATAGCAAGAAATTGACTGTAACACATTTATTCTGATTCTTTCCGTAATTATATCGAAACCACTCTCACCCTAATATCGATCGGCCGGATGTTCAGACGAAAAACAGCGACCAGCAGGTGCAAGGTTGGTGACTGGAAATAAACAGCAACTTGCGCATCCTGAATGTAAAACCAACAATGTCCGTTAAAAGTGATCCTTTAGTCTCGGAGAGGCGTTTACATTCGATAGGGAGATATCGGTTTATCAATCAGTTTACCAAACAGTGCTAAGTCAATCATGAAAGATGAGAAAACAGTATTCGGTGCAACTTACACATCACTCTCAGCTGATAAATCACAAGCGCACGGGATCGAACAGACGGCAAGGTGGGGGGGGGGGCAGGAGAGAAAGGAAGAAGAAAATGAACAGTCGTTCGTTTGAATAGTCGATGTAACAACTAGTGTCAACTCATCGCTGAAAAAATAATATACAATCAACCGGAGAAAAATCAAGCTCCATAATTTATGACGTACTTGATTAAACTAAGAATTCTGAATTCGCAGAGAATACGGAAAAACAGATGGGCAAGCAACCACAAAAACATGATAAATCGATGATCATCCTCATCCAGAAGAGGCCAGGTTTCGCAGAACACCACGCACCGTGACGATGTATACCATTCCCTTGAGGGAAATTTGGAGGTTATGGCGGTGCTACAGATTCGCAGGTTAGTAAGAGAAGTTCCAGTA